TTATGTATTATACAATAGATCTCTCTTTCCTGCGTTGATTTAAAGGCACAAAATACAACACAACCAGGTACAACACACAAGGCATTGAACAGAAATGTATTTGCGATATTAATAACCTCCAATAAAGGTGACCACTAGCGAAAGGCAAATTAGGGGATAGGAGAGAAAGAGGAAGAATAAAAAGAGAAGAGGGAGGGAGCAAAAGAAAAAGATAGGAAAAAGATATATATATGAAGTGTCAAAATGAAATTGGGAAACAGAGAGAAGAAAAGAGAGAGAGAGAAAGAGAGAGAGAGAGAGAGAGAGAGAGAGAGAGAGAGAGAGAGAGAGAGAGAGAATAAGAGATAAAAGGGGAATAAACTATATATATGGGGAGAGAATTTCAATTGAACAACCACTAACCCCAGAAAATGCTGGCAGCAGTACCTGGAGAATACTACAATCTACAACACCCTCTAATTTCCAGCAAAGAAAGGGAAAACAAAAGTAAAAAAAAAAAAAAAAAAGCAATCAAATAAGAAAATACCAAGCAACAGCAACAACAAAAGAATAAGCAAAATACTCTCACTAAAAAGCATAAAAATACAATATAACCAACATTCCCCAAACAGCATCAAAAGGACAGTGAGTAAAACAATTATTTATTTATTTATTTATTTATTTGGCTAGTTAATATAGCTCAGAGAGGGATGTGTATGCACTTGGCACAGGGGATTGGAAATTAGATATATAAGTAGGTTTGAAATTTTAGCAGGGGGGAAATGGAAATAGTAGGGAAAATTTAAAGTAGGAAAGGGTTAAGATAAACCGGATAGCAAAAGGGGGAAGGTTAGAAAGAGAGTGATGTTGTAAAGGTTGTGTTGAGATAGGATTAAACAATGTTAAAGGAGAAATGAAAATAAAATGAAGAACAGTAATTCCAATGTAAAATAAAGAGAAAATAAAATGGCACTTAAAAAAATAGCAGTAGTAATAATGCTGACTGAACCTAAAAATGTAATAATTAAAAAGTTAAAATCAAGTGAGGAAAAAAGGAAAAAATTTGTTTCTTAAGTAAAAGATGCAAAAAATGAAAATAAAAATTTTAGCAAAAAAAGTGTGCAGTTGTTAATGCACTTCTTCTGTTATTCTGTTTGGCACGCCTGTTTCTCAGTCCAGACAGTATTGCAATTCCCTGCGTTCTGCTGCACTTCAGTGGCGATTCCTTAGTTTCTTGGTTTTTGATCAAATAAAACTAGTAATAAACACAGTTTGTACTCCAGCCCCTGGGTGGATTGATGTTCCTGTCTTTTTGGCTGCTCTAGCCTTCTTTTTCTATGGCACTCAATACTGTGTTTTTGTTTTTTGTGGGTTTTTTTTGTTTGTTTGTTTGTTTTTGCCTCGAAGCTGAATCCTGGGTGATTTCTCCCCGCTCTGCTTCTCAGCTTCCAGAAAAGCAGTTTCCCCCTGCTGTCTCTCAGGGCCAGCCAATGTGGGTGATCTCTCCTTTGTAATCAGAAGCAAAGGGTTGCAGGGGAACCAGCCTAGGTGCGCAATGGGCGAGTCTGCACGCACTTACAAACAGACTGCTTTCCAACTCCTATGTTCTCCCTCCGTGTCGGATCAGAATGGGTTGCTCCCTAGAGAACCCCACTATTAGCAACCTTGGGGACCCCCATCCACTCTCTCGAATCATGCCAGACCCAACAGTGGGGGGCTTTTGTGGACACATATTTCCGCGGTCCCACGCACGCGCACTTTTGCCTCTGCTGCCTCAGCGGCCACAGCTTCTGCAGCTGCAGCTTTCACTGTTGGGACACAGACACCCCACATTATCCCCGGCAAAATCCAACCTTCCTGTGGAATTTGCATGTCAGCACCGGTCGAGGCTCCCACAGTTGTGGTTTTTTTCAGGTCTCAGGTAAGATCCCCAGTTGCAGCACTGATGTGGTTGTGAGAGGCAGCACATACAAGTGTTTACCTTGCCGCCAACTTCCAGGAAGTGCCAAGGTCATTTTTGGACGTGCAGTTTGTTAGTTGTCCAACTGGGATTAGAACTCAGTTCTCCACCCCAGACCTCCACCCCAGACCTTACTTACAGCTGAATCATAGCCATCAAAAGTTAAGCTGCAGGCAAAGCAGAGATGAGGCTTTGAAAGTGAAGCAGAAAAGGTGAAAAGTTCTCCTTTCTTCTTTCCTCTTTTCACTTGACTTAATCTCTATCATAATTCCCTTAGAAGATCACCACTTCCATCAGAAAAGAACATCAATTTCCTACTTCAAACCTGTAGTGCCAGCCAGGCTGTCTCAGAACCGAAGGCAACAGAACAATGTGTGCCCTACATATGCTTATTGAAACATCCACCTGTCTTCTAACCAAGTGGAAGACCTTAATAAAAGCTTTAGAATTAAAACATACGACTGACTGTCTATAAAGGCCTGAGTTACTCAGTCTCTTTGAACAACATTGTTAACCGGCTGTGGGAGCACAGGGCTTTTTGAAAACCACTCTTTTCTTGCACACAAAAAAATACAAGGATAGGAAACCAACAACATCCCTGTCTTTATTTAAAATTTTGGCATTTTGTTCATCACTGATTTCTTTGCATTAATTTTGATTTTTAAAAATATTGCTTGAAACTGTTATTTATTTTGATTACTGAGTTTTTGCCTAGCCCACCCCCCATAAATTCTGTGCCCCGGGTAAGTGCCTCACTCGTCTCACCCTAATCCTGGCCCTGCCAACTGCTCTATGGTCCGTGGTCACAATCTGAACCACTCCTACCAACGCACTGCTCAGAGTTGCAGTTTAAAAAACTGCAGTTTCATTTAAAAAAACGAAAGTTGCAGTTTTCGTTTAAAAAAACACACATGCGCCTGGCTGGCGTGGCTCAGCGGTTGAGCAACAACCTAAGAACCTGGAGATCACAGTTCGATTCCCAGTCAGGGCACATGCCTGGGTTGTAGGCTTGATCCCCAATGTGGGGTGTGCAGATGGCAGCCAATCAATGATTCTCTCTCCCTCCCTCTTTATTCCTCTCTGAAATGAATAAAAATATATTTCAAAAATAAAAAATCAAACACATTGTGCTTAGATAGACCTGTTGATCCACAGAATCTATGAAACAGAAGATCAGAGAAAGCATCTTCTGTGGTATTTTAATATTGACTTAAATAAATTCAAAGGCATATATCTTATGTATTTAATATGTAAATCACTTTTCATTTTACATATGATTTTTCTTCAAAGACTTCAGACTTCCAACAAAGTTTTAACTTTTTTTCTTACCTTACCTCTCTTTGGTGTTTTGTGCTTAGAGGTTCCTTTGCACCTTCATTTTTTTAATGAATTTAATTCCAAAAGCAGCCTCATAAGGAGGGACAAAAAATGTGATGACCCACAAGTGTGTTTGCCCCCTCCCCATCCTCCAATCACTTCACCATCCTCTCACTTCCTCTCATCCTCCATCTTACCCACTTCCAAGCTTTCTTCTAACCTCTCATTCCCAAGGCACAAAAGCCTTGTTCCTCAGCATCTATTCTCATGAAAATCTAGCAACAGGAAGCAGACGGTAACAGTACAAGTCACTGGAATTATCTCCATGCTCACTGGATTCATCTCTATGCCCTTTGCCTGCAAGCATGCGGGTCAACAGAAAGGCAGCAGAGAGAGGGGAGGAGGAGCTGTGAGTATGAATGCAAATGTAACAAAACTTTATGGCCAGGTATGTCCGTCTCTAGTCAGCCCCTCTGCTTTAAAGCCTTAGGGATAGCACAATTCATAGATCTGCTGCAGGGGACACTGTGACCCAGGACAGCCTTTGGCTAACAGCCTAGGAATCAAGCTCAGAGAAAGGAAGTGGCTTACATTACAGTGAACAGCCACAAGCTGTAGCATGAGGATTCACGCCACGTATTCTAATTCCTACTTCAGTGTTCTTCTCATTACATTACTCCAAAGTCACTTCCCAAGTTAAGATGTCTTTAGAATGAAAATGATTTTGATTGACATGGGAACTTTCACTGACTTTGGAAATATATGTGGCCTGACACAAGACTAAATCATTGCATTAAAAAAGAAAAAGTATCTCCATTTCCATAAAACAAATCAAGTTGGCTATGTAGAATGTGGGCAATCACAAGAAACACGTTTTGAACAAATTACTTAAAAGTACTGAAAGTAGCTGATACCGCTTTGGCTCAGTGAATAGAGCATCGGCCTGCAGACTGAAAGGTCCCAGGTTCGATTCTGGTCAAGGGTATGTACCTTGATTGCGGACACATCCCCAGTAGGGGGTGTGCAAGAGGCAGCTGATGGATGATTCTCTCTCATCGATGTTTCTAACTCTCTATCCCTCTCTCTTCCTCTCTGTGAAAAACCAATAAAATATATATATTTAAAAAACTACTAAAAATAATTGGAATATGAAATCGTAGCTCAAATGCATTTTTAGAGCTAGCCTTACCTAACTATGCTATCAGAATTATTGCTCTCCAAACCTCCCTTCTATCCACCCAACAATGATCTCTATCATGCTCTTTCTTTGTTTCCTTTATAGAAGATTCACAAGCCAGCACCACCATGCTTCCATATCTGTGCACTTGTTTATGTTCTGTGTTCTCCTGGGGCTGTAAATGGCTGTAAACCCTGTGAGGAAAGACTTTATAGACCATTTTCACCTTCGAATCCCAGTTCTTGCACATACTACTCTCAACAAATATGTGCCAAAGAAGTAAAGGAAAGATGGCAGCCTCTACCCTGTTTCCCCGAAAATAAGACAGTGTCTTATATTAATTTTTTCTCCCAAAGTTGCGCTAGGTCTTATTTTCAGGGGCTGTCTTATTTTCGGGGAAACACAGTAGTCAGAGCTTCTGTCGCTGTTCTCCATTTACCTCCCCTTCCCACCTCAACCTTAAACAAATAAAAAAGCCTCTCTGTCGATCAAGATCAAGGCAGTTTTCTTAACATTTGAGACGAGTTAATGGCATCCACAAAAGGGAAGAAGTTGTCTATGACTTACTGTGGGCTCAGTTCTCTTATCTCACCCGGCTTGAAGCCCCATTCTTTGGCCAGCTTTTCTTGCTGAGATGCTTCTTCTAAAAACACTATCTTTAAAAGAAAGAAAGGAAAGAATTACAAATTAATGAAACATCATTTGTCACTACTAAATATCTAAATCTTTTTTAAGAGACTACACTATAGCTGTTATTTTATTTTATTTTATTTTTCATTGATTTTTAGAGAGGAAGAGGGATAGAGAGTTAGAAACATCGATGAGAGAGAATTATCGATCAGCTGCCTCTTGCACACCCCCTACTGGGGATGTGTCCGCAACCAAGAACCAAGGTACATGCCCTTTACCGGAATCCAACCTGGGACCTTTCAGTACGCAGGCTGATGCTCTATCCACTGAGCCAAACCGGTTTCAGCAATAGCTGAGTTAATTTTAAAAGGTAGTTGATACCAAATAGGCTTTAGTTTACAGGCAAAATGGCAGGTGTTTGCCTTTGCTTGCCCAAAGAAGTAAATTGCATGATATTTCTTCTTCTCTACCATTCTACAGATATGAGTTTGGTTTCAAAATTCTAATTTGGAGATACAGGGTATGAAAAATGGCTAATTGGGCCCTGGCTGGTGTGGTTCCACTGGTTGAGTGCCCCCAATGCACCAAAAGTGGCTGATTCAATTCCTGGTCAGGACACATTGTCAGGTTGTGAGTTTGATTCTATTATTCTAGTTTGATAGTTGTAGGCAATAGATCAATGTCTCTCCCTCACATTGACCCCCCTTTCTCTCTCTTTCTCTCTCTCTCTCTTCCTCTCTCTCTCTCTCTCTCTCTCTCTCTCTCTCTCTCTCTCTCTCTCTCTCTCTCCCCCCCCCCCCGTCCCTTCCTCTCTAAAATCAATAAAAACATTTTTTAAATAGCAAATGATATTTTTTTCTTTCCCATCCCTGAAAATTATTACAGAAAACAATTGTTTATAGAAGGTATACCTCATTACAGATGACTGAAAGATTTTTGTTAGGATATTGTGGGAAACTAAAGTCCAGAGTACCTTAGTAGCATATCATTGGGCAATTTATTAACACTGAATATAACTGCTCATGATTGCCTAACAATTGAGTCTTAGCAGGAACTATGTTATTCTGATACTAGACATCTGCTGTGTTCTTCTTGTACTGTGTTTGAGACACAGAAAGAGTGATCTTTCCTGTTACACTTATGAGGTCTGAAGCCCATGGGCCACAGCTGGGAAACCTCAATGGATCTCTTAGTTTCGCAAACAGGAGATAACACCAGCACACATTTCACAAGGCTATTGTGAGGCCTAAATATGAACATTTGAGCAAACAGGTTAGCACATCCTTGGAACATGTTAAATTTTAGAAACATTATACCTACTGTTGGTCATTTTTCAAGTATAGTGTGATTGCTTTCTCTGTAAAAATAGATTGCAAAGCAAGAAAGAACAAAGGACAATGAAACATATATGCAGACAATACCCTGTTTCATTTTTAAATGTAATGTTGTGGGGGAAAATAACATTTCATGGAGCATGAAATACTAAAAAAACAAAAAAGCAAAAAAAAGCATCTAGTTAATTAGAAGCAAGGCAATATACTTCAAAAATAATTGTTTATGGAACTGAAAATAGACTTTCATATTCATTGAAGATATTCTTTTTTTTAAAAAAAATTAGAATATTTTTAAAAGTGAAATGAAGATGTAATGCCTACATATAAGGAAAAGTAATTTGATGATTCAAAAAATATACTAGAATAAATAAATATCAAAGAAGATAGATAATTAATGAAAAAAGCTAACAAAGAACAGATAATATCTGTGCTAGGTAAAGAGTTCCAGAGCATGGAAAAGAATGGGCCATAAAAACAGAACTTGTTAATATGTCTTAGAACTGATTTAGCATTAAAGCAATCAATCAATAATAAAATATTTGTAAAACACTATATTCCCACATTTAAAAATATATTTGAGGTAAATATTTTTGAGAAAAATATAAATTATCAAAATTTTTTTCTGGAGAGATAGGAAAACTGAATGTACCACTAGCTTTAGAAAAATCTGAGAAAGTTTTACTAACTCTTTAGGAAATCATATGGTTCAGAACAAAATGCATATATAACTTTAAATTTTCTAGCAGCCACACTAAATATGTGAGACAGAACAGGTAAAATTAGTTTTAATGATATGTTTTATTAAACAACATAGATGGCCATCATAAAAGATTATCATATCAAATTGAAATCAATATAAAAATTATTCATTTTATTTGGGAGAGGGCATTCTGCCTTTAAATTCCCAGATGTTTTTTGCATTTAAAGTATATTTCAACTGAGTTGCTAAATTTTCATGAGAAATATTTTATATATTTAGATTTTATATATTGTAATTTACAAAAAGTAGACTCACATAAATAGGTTGTTTCAAAAACACTTAAAAGTTTTTCAAAACTGAGATGAGTATCATTTTTTAAATGTAAAATTAAACTAAAAATTAAAATAAATAGAAAAGTTAGTTCATTGGTCTCACTAGCCACATTTCAAGTGCTTAATACACTGCATTGGACAGCACTCAGTCAGAGAATTTCTTAGCCAAGTTCTTTCCAGCCAACAGAGAACAGATAATGTCTGTGCCAGGTAAAGAGCCCTAGAGTGTGGACCTCTAATTTTACAAAGCTAGCATAATCCTCATAACAAAATATGACAAAGCACATGCAACGTATACATATACACATACATACAAAGAGAGTGAAAATTACAAGCCAATGCCATTTGTTATTTAATAATATGTGAAATATGGTGGAAATTATACTTGGGTAAAAACTGCTGTTTGAATTTTAACCTTGCTGACTTCGAGGGTAGTTACAGGAGATTGACTCCCACTGACTCAGTAGCTTTAGGGGTAGAAACTATAGATAACCTTTAGTTCTGCTTCAATGTCAAGCAGGGTGTGACTGGGAACCAACCCTGCAGGCTGTCCCCAGTCTTTAGAATTTAGTCCTGAGGGGCCAATCAGGGTTAGCCGAGGCAGTGACATCACCGACCTGAGTAAAACCCCTGGACTGGGCGAAATTCGCTCTCTTCCGCCATGCTGCCGGCATGAGTGGGATAGCCCATGCTATTATAGCATGGAGATGGCTCTTTTGTTTATTGCATCGGACTCGGCTCCCTGGTGGTCCTTGGGGATCATGACTGGAATCCCCAGCCAGGACCATGAGGGACCCCCATTCCGGAAAGCCTGACTGGCCGTGGTAGGTGTGTGTTTGTCTGTGTTTTTGTGTGAGCGCTCTGGAGGGACTGCCCCTCCATCGGGGCTCTTACCTGGGTGTTTACTGGCTGCTGCGTCAGCCATGGTTTGAGTCCAGATTCAAATCTGTAATAAATTCTAGCATGCTTAATCAAATTGGCTCCGGTGGTCTATCTCTTGGGGACTCACTTCGTAACAATATGGGTGCAAAAATAATCTCAATGATATATTGACAATAAAAAGCAAAAGTATATTAAAATAATAATTCATCATGTCTGTGACATATAAGCCTCAATTATTCTGACCAAGCAAGACACATCTTCTATCAAGGTATAACATATTTTTTAGTAGTTAGGCAAGAACCCAACTCCTAATGACTGCTGCTGGAATAGCCCTATCTGGTTTGGTTCTGTGGATAGAGCTTTGGCCTGTGGACTGAAGGTTCCTGGGTTTGATTCCAGCCAAGGGCACATGCTTGTGGGCTCGATCCCCAGTAGGAGGCCTGCAGGAGGCAGCCAATCAATGTTTCTCTCTCATCATTGATATTTTTCTCTTTCTAAAAAAAAAAAAAAAAAAAAAGACAGCTGGAATAAACCCACCCACCCTCTTTACTGTTATCTTCAGTTGACACTCAAGCTGGAATTCACTTGCTCCTAGCTTATACACCAGGGATCTTGATCTGTATCATCATTTTCATTAAGGTTCTGTGTTCCTTGTCTCTGACTGAGCTCCCTCCCACCCCTCCCCACTTACCAAAACCCTTCACTGCAACCTCTAGTTACTACCCCTCCATAAACACCAAACTCCTTTATCCGTTCAGTATGTGCTGAGTTCCTCCCTCCTGGTAGCTGGGGCTCTACCCCAAGGACATGGCTTCCCCTGTGCTTCTCAAATGGCAGGTATTCAGACATCAGGCTCAGGCAATGAGTCTGATGCCTTTGGTACCCCCCCTATGGCCATTTCCAAACCATTTTTCCTTCAGCTTCTTGTAAACTGTAAAGGGCCCCCTGGAAATGCACATGGATGACCTTTAAATTAATGTCAGCTGAACTCAAGGCATAGGCAGAGCCATGCCCTGGGAATGTGTTTCCCCAAAATGTTGGAGACTGTTATCAGTACCAATTTCTTATCTTTATCCACGTGCTTGGAATGAGGAACAAATAGGACCTTGATTTATCCAGGTCTTGATATGCTAAATCCCAGGAATGGGGAAATGAATAGGACCTGGGCACACCCACAACTCCTTCCATTCTAAGCTTTTCAGGAAACCTCCCTTTATTCTTTTGGAAATAAATAAATGCGCTGTGTTGTCTGTGGTGGGTGGTTGTATGTCCCTCTATCAGAGTGACAGCCTCCCACCCAGCACCCAGCTTGATGAATCTATTTCTGCCTCTTGGTCTTTTTTTTCCTTTAATTTCTTAATCCCCAGCTCCTCCGTTCAGGAACCTGTGGTTTTCCATGCGGGTTGCGGGAAAACAGAGAAACAGCCCCCACAGAAAACAAAGAAGGCTCCTCTAAGACCTGCCCCTTTCAGCTTTCAAAAACATCTTTCCTCTCTTTTTGTTGTTCTCCTTTACCAACCTTTCTCTCAATGTTCAAATCTGTTGATGTCTGCCTCACACTCTTTCTCTCCATTCCAAACCCCGCTCTCTCCTCCTTATATCAACCTGGGCAAGCCTTTTGAAACCATGGCCAGCTACTCCCACGAATTCATCTTCAGTCATTTGTTCCTGAACAAATGAAGTTCATGAACTTCACATGATAACTGCTCTACCTCTAAAACTCTCAAATCACAATTTCTTCTTTTACCTATTTGTTATTTCAACTACTCCAACCAATC